GATCAAATTCATTGGTTCTTGTAAATATATTATGGCCCAAGTGAAATGTTACAAAAAAGGTGATAAACGTGAACAATTTTAACCATAGAGAGTGTTACTTCTTTTTATAGTAATGAAGAGTCTAACATAGAGTAAGATAACTAACACAAGATAATAATTAAGAAATAGGTACATAAATTTAATTGTTTTTATTACTAGCCATTGTTCTTGAACGTGAAATTTGCTGCCAGGGAAAAACCGTTGCAATTTTAGATGTTTTATATATCAAAAGCTTTTGAATTTTAACGCCGTTACAACGTCCTTAATAAGCTTTATATAATACTAGATAATAATGTATGAAAATTTTTGGGACAAACCCCGATGTACCAAGTCACCTAGGAATCGAACACAGAAAGAGTCCCACAGGTCAATCCTTTTGATAACGTGGGTATCTGGGATGAGTGAATTTTCCCCTACGAGGGAGTGCGAGCTGTATAGCTAAATTTGGATTTTCTTCAGTAAACGAATTTAAAGGAAATATAAAGTTAATTTGTTTATAAAGCTATAGCTCTTAAACTATTTGACGTACAGTGTCCAAGTTTAGCATAAATGAACTACATATATTGAAAAATATTCCCGTGGAATCTTAATATAGTACGTGAACAGCATAGTTGGTCCCTTAATTATAAATGATATGCAAAACAGATTTGTGTTTGTAACTCTCGTTCAAATTGAACGCGGTTAGATTTATTTTGTAGGTCTTTTAAAAGCGATTAAAATAAGTTTTTGACATTTTTTGTAAAACAAACAGTGGAGAAGATATGCGAAGAAAAATTGTAAAAAATAATACTACATACAAATAAACAATGTCTCCGAAATTTTTTAAATTACTTAAAATCGTGTAACTCCTAAAAATGTCATCAAAACGACGATTTTGAAGCTCTTCCCACTGGTTAAAGAAGCTATTATAGATTTACACAAAAGTTGTGTATTTTCAACTCTAAATTTCTAATTTAATTAATTATTCTAATTTTATATCTATATCCATAATAGTTCTAATCTAATTTCAAAACGTTTATTTAAATAAAAATGAAGGGTTCCAGTTGAAAATTCAAAGTTGCTACACCCACCGCGTTCGCAGGGAGAATAAGAACCCTGCTATTGCATAAGTATATAGATTTTGAAAAACCATTAAAAAAGAATTCCTAAGTTTTTTCGATACGACGTCTAGTTCTCGAGATATTTGACAATCGCCTTTCTGGACAGATCTCTTTAATAATGTAAATAATATTATTCAAACCGGAAATAAGCCGAAGGGAGTGAGAGGTCTGACTGTAAAATTCATTTGCGATGTTGCCAAATTTACCGGATCTCGGGTTGTCTACAAAATGTATATTTAGCATATACACAACGGATCGCTCGCACTGCCTCTACAGCGGATTTAGTGGAACTACTGCAATATAAAATTCACCAAAAGGGGTGCAAAATGAGGTCCAGACAAAAATCGATTTCTTTGTACCCCCATCATTGTTACATCGAGATGTCACTATATACACGTGAATACAAGGTGAGATCCAAAATCGGATCTCGCCTTGCAAAACGGATCTCATTTTGTATAGCTTATGATACAAACGGATCTCGCCTTGATATGAAGACATATATATATATATATATATATATATATATATATATATATATATATATATATATATATATATATATATATAATATCATGTTGACAATTTTTTATTTAAAATTAGTTGCAAAGCAAGTGAATTTGCTTCATCTGGTGAAGGCACTGGTAATATTTTTCTTTTAGCACCTGCTTTTAAAGATTTTTTGACTGCAAAAAATCTGCTCTGCTTACTAATATTTTTATTAGTTGAAATCACCTTCAGTTCCTTTAAAGTTTCCTTATGTCGACTGGAGGCTTCCAATGTTGGTTTAACAGGTGTTATAAACTTCGAAATAGTTTCCAGAGTACTATTATCAGATACATCATTTAGATTAGTGACAATTTCAAGTATATCACTAATATCTTTTATTAGTTTTGATTTTCTTTCAAAAAAATTTCTTTCTTGCATAGACGGATTATAATTATTAGATATAGCTTGTACAAGTTGTAGAGCCTCATCTTCTTTTGCATCAGTATGCATTATCAAACTGTTGTCTACACGATCTAAAAAATAAGTAAAACTTAATTTCACATTGTTTAATATATTGGCAAGAACCAATAATACAGCATTTGTAAATTTCAAAAAGGTTTCACATGTTCTGCATATTTGATAAAATAAGTAAAGTTACAAGTATGATTTCCATGAGAAAAACTGAATTAAAATGAAGGATATAATTGAACATTTCATTTTTTTTATCCAAATTCTCTATCAAGTCAATGTGACTGGATGCTCAATAAACACCATATGTGGTTAAACAAATATATTTTAAACAAATACAAACCTATTTCTGAAACTACTCCAGATAAAACATTTGACTTCTGCTTTCGATATGTGCAAACCAAGTGTATATGTTTGCACATATTCCATTTGATTGATGAATCGAGGCAGTTACATGAATACTGGTGTAAACAACTTTTGCATTCATCACATGCTAATTGGCAAACACAATTAGATTTAATTTCATCTACCATATATATTTCATTGGTACTATCAGAAGGTACTTCCCAGCCACATTCTTTTTCAATAACTTTTGCAATATTTAATTGTTTGCTTGCATTGTGGCGAGCTCGTATATGGCACAATTTTGAGCATATTTTGCCTTTATGAATGGCAATAATGCGTTCAAAAATTTTGTCTCTAACAAACTTCATTATAGCCATTATAGCTTTGTCCATACGTTTGTTATATTTACCATTTAAATAAAGATATTTTATTGTTCTATGCATTCTCTCAATATGCATATTGGTATTTAATCCTGCATTTAATCTATAACAATATGCCCAATTTTTTACTTTTGGTAGATAATAATTTTTAAAGTAAGTACCAAAACCTGCAGTGTCACTATCCTCACTGCAATAATCTAAAAACTGTTGTATCATTATGGAAAAGGCTTCAACATCCCTTTCTTGCAGCAAAGTTCGAACAATTTTGTAAATAACAACCTAAAAAATTGATTTTTAAAAATTAAACATAAACAAAAGTAAAGTTCATTTTACCCTCTTTTCTTGTGAAGAAACTTTACTTAGATTTTTTCTCCAAGCACGATCAATGTGCCATGTACAATACAGCCTAGAAAGAAAAACAAAAACATAAGGTAAAACAAAATGACAATTTCATGTAAACAAAACATACCTATGCTTAGCTGGTTGCATCACATTTAACCATGCATTGTAGTAAGTATCTGCCATATCTGACATAAAAACAGAGGGTTTGATGCTTTTCCCTAGTTTATCTTTTACACAGGAGAAAAATAATGTCATCACATGTTCATCAACACGACTAGATATTAAAAACGCAGTTGGATATCCTTCTCTTAAATCATCCAACACTAGCAATGTATGTAGTTCAAAACCATAGCCATTAACTCCATGTGTACCATCTATGCACACACAATCTTCTCCAAATTTATTTAATAGTTCTTGCTGGCCTTGGGTCATTATTACTATGACAAAATCTTCTGAATTAAGTTCAGAACTACTACTACAAGGAGACCCTTGTGGCTTATAAAAGAGTACACATCCTGTTGGTCTCATCTGGTTGACCCAAGTTTCTACACTTATGGCATCATTTGTGTGTCTACATGAATCATTATTTAGTTGAAAATCCCTTTCAATATTGTACAGATCTTTCTTTTTTAATAAATGTATTCTTTCTAAATTGTCATCATATACAGATTCTCTAATCTCATCTAATATAAATTGAAAAGGAATTTTTTGTGCTACTTTTATAGCAAGTTCTTGCCTCTCAGTAGATGTAAGAAATAAATGTCCTAAATCTGCAGCATGGCCGACATGAGTTGAAATGAATGTAACACTACATTTTTCACCCTCTTGTCTGCAATCTATTTTAGATGGGCAAAAACCGTTAATTTTCTTACTGCCCTGAGATTTTAAATGTCTCAGTTGTTTGCCCCTTGCTATGTAATAACCTGATCTTTGGCAATAATATTGGGATCTTTTATATTTTTTTGTTCCATATGAACCATGTGAAATATTATATTTTGATACAGTGTCTTTTTCTAATTCTGTTTTCCACTGTTCAAATTTTTCTATGGAATCAAATGTCAAGTTTTGACTGTTTATAGCAATACTATGCAGTGTTTTCATATGTGATATAACTTCTTCTTGTGACGTATTTTCATATTCACATAGACTGCATCTCAACATTTTTAAACATTTATGATTTTGTTTTAAAGATGCATGTAATGTGTCAAACTTTTTGTGACACAGTGTACAGTCATACATCTTTTTACTAGAGGAAGCCTCTTCTACCTCTAAAAATAAATAAGTAAATTAATTATGCCGTCTGTGTTTGTATTGCTAAAAATATCAACTTACCTGGATGTTTGAATTTTAGATGTCTGGTCAAATACCTTTTATCTATGGCTTTATTGCAAACATTACATTTTGCAGTTGGTTTTGCTCCTGCATCTATTTTTTCTGCATCATCTAAAATAGTAAATCCATATAGTTTAATTAAAGGATTAACTAATTTAAAGAATCAAATGTACCTGGGTGCTTTAATTTAATGTGAGCTCTAAAGTTTGATATGTTTACAAAAGTTTTGTTACATATTTCACACTTTTTCCATCCTTTTTTTAAGTCCTTGGAATCCATTCTAACAAAAAAATATAATTATAAAAGAGGTAAGTAGTTATTCTAATTACACTAATACTGGAAAAGAATGTAAACAAAGATCACTTTCCACCTGTATTAATAATGTGATAATATCATAACATAACAACATATTATGATTTTGAAATTTTGAATTCTTAGGTTATGACATTGACATAAGCTGTCTGACCAATCGCAAGCCTGAAGTTTTTGACCAATCGTAAGCCTCGCCACTATCTTTTTTTGGTCGCCCGAGACACAAGTTGGTGTAAATGGTCTTTGATGTTACCCTACCCGGTTTAACAGTTTACGTTTGTTTACGTTCTCCATTTTATATCGTTTTTTAATCTAATTTGGTGTTTATTCTTCCTTGTATTATTCTTATTTATAGTTTGTATTTTTAGTGTTAATTAGTTATTTAGTGTGTTAATTAGTTGTTTAGTGTGTATATTTGAGACTATTATTTAACCAATTATTTTTATTGTCGATCAACTTGTTGGAGGTAAGTTAATAAAACGATTGGTTCTTGGATTGTATTTATCCTAATTAAAAATCTTCTATAGGCGTCAACAAAAAACCATGCCATTCTTGGTGAACTGTTGTGTACCACAATGTGGCACTCCTCATTCTTCACCAATACGCCACAAATTTCCAAGACCCACTATTGATATGGAACGGTTTCGAAAATGGGTAGAGAATATCAATAATCCAGAATTGGCAAATATGAATCCACAGACCATATACTCCAGGAAAAGAGTGTGCCATCGACATTTTGAACAATTATTTTGTTCTTCAACATCGCATAGACTTCATCAAAATGCAGTTCCTACATTATACTTAACTGGTAAGTCTGATACATATACATCATTCCACCAAACAAAGTTTATATGCCAGATTACTTTCATAACCTTTACAGTTTAATCTTCAAATTATTGTTAATTTTTTTTATTAAATTGCAATAAACACGAAAACACTTAGATTTGGGAAGAATGAGTAAATGTCCTATATAATGTAAATTTGTCTTTACTGTAAAGCAGTTGATGTCATTGAAACAAAATGATCAAATTGGTTGGAGCACATTCTATCTTTTTTCACATATATTAAAAACATACTCCACATAAACACTCAACTCAATCTATTTATAAAGTATTCTTCTACAATAGAGAATTTCTTTTCACCAAAACACATGATTTGCTACATTTTTCATATGGCAGGATAAACTTTGCTTCAATCAAATAAATGTTCAATTGTAATAATAATACAACCTTTCATTCAAGTTTGTATTCAGGACGATTTTAGATGGTTAGCCCTACTTATTGTATTTTACAAAAAATTATGGAATAAAACAAATTGAAAGAAAAATGCAGCATATTGTAATTTTGGTATGTCAAAATAAATACAGTTTACAATACAAAAATAATATACTCTAGTTAATTAGAATTAACTTTAATATATTTTTCTGTAAGTTAGTTAAAGTAAGTAAGTTTCTGTTAGTTTAAAATTTTAGTATCCAAGAAAGGTAAATGGGTTGACTGTCTGACTATTTCTTTAATATAATAATAAACCAGTTAAGAGAGGTGAGAATTTATATGGAAAACAAACATTGTGCTTACAATGTTTTTCATATCAGGTGTTATATCCACAGCAGTTTTTTTTAATACATTTTAATAGTTTGATCTTTGGGTTTGTCTTAAAAAAATAATACTCCATATGTATTGAATACCCTAGAACCAAATTATTTTGTTGAATTTATTGATTAATTGAGGTTTACTTTGTTCCAGGATGCAGTGGTTCTCAATCAACAATAGTGAATGAAGAACTTATTGATAATGTGAAACTTGATATTGTTGGACCTTCTGAGTTGGAAACATTGACTACAGAAGGTAAATATATTTATATAATTATGTGCTGTTGGATACTGTTACATTAACAACATTTATGATCTCCATTATATTCACTAATTAAGACATTTTTTTCTTTTACAGATTATGTTGATGCTTCTAAATCTAGTTTAGATGAAACACATATGCCCATCGAAACTGGGGAAAATTCTGGACTGCAAAAAGTGGTTACAAAAGGTATGCAAATTTTAGTTTTTGATTTAGTTACTTCTTCAGAATACATAGCACAGCTGGCAGAATTACTTGAGAAACGTAATTCATTTAGTAATTATGATATTGTAACTAATTTATTCTTCTTGAGTAATTATCTCAGCTCTGATACATAATATATTTATCCAAATATTTTTTTTGTAGAACAACCTCTTGGCTTCTTGTCCCCTCTGAAAATACTGAAGAAGTCAGGTAATTCCAAACACACATTGTCACCAAGAAAAGCCAAACTATATTCTGCTGTTAAGGATCTTCACAAAAAATACAGTGTGGTGAAAAATACCACAAAAACTTTAAAACGCAGGCTTTTTGAAGCAGCTGAATTTAAAAAGAAATATCTTTTTGATGATAATTTAAATAGCTTAAACACTATGACAGCTATGTTTATTCGCTGTCAAATACGAGAATCAAATAAATCAAAACATTTGAGGCGATTTTCGCTAAATGAGAAATTGATGGCATTAACATTGTATAAGCAGAGTGCTAAGTCCTACAATTTGTTGTCAAAAATATTCATTTTACCTAGTAAGTCTACTTTAAATAGACTACTTGCAAATATTATTGGAGGACCAGGTATAAATGAGGTAGTTTTTCAATCCCTACAAGAAACGACAGCGAAAATGGATTCCTCTGAAAAATATGTAGGTTTAATCTTTGATGAAATGGCAATCATGCCAGGACTCCATTTTAATGAACGACATGGCCTTATAGAAGGATTTGAGCATATGGGAGAAAATAGGGATATTTTCATTAGTGACCATATTCTAATGTTCATGGTAAGAGGTTTAAAAAAATCATGGAAAGCACCTATTTCGTACCATTTTGCAAGTAGGGGTGGTGCAAAAACATTTCAAATTAAAAATTTATTAATTGAAATAATTCAGAAACTTAGAAGCATTAATCTTAAACCAATTACAGTAATATGTGACCAGAATAATAGTGCTGTAATAAATAGTTTGATAAAAGATACCAAAGAGATTTATATGCGAAATGGACAACTAAATAAATATAGAAGTGGTTCTTTTGAAATAGCAGACTTAAGAATTTACCCAATATTTGATCCTCCACATTTGCTAAAGGGAATAAGAAACAATTTATTAAAAAAAAATCTTAATTTTGTTAAAAATGGTGTAAAAAAAACTGCAAAATGGGAGCACATACAGTGGTTGTATGAGTCTGATAATGGACCAATTGATGGGCTTAGAGTTTTATCTCATATAACAGATGAACACATATATTGTAACAAAATCAAGAAGATGAAGGTAAAAAATGCTGCCCAAATATTTAGTCAAAGATTTTCTGCTACCCTCCAGCTGGCAGGAAAATTATGTAAGTATAAAATAATTTTAATCAAGGATATTTATACCTATAAACAACCCTAAATATAATTGTAATGTATGTAATTTATATAATTTATTGACAAAGAATGGACAAACTATAGCATAAAAATGAAGATTATTAATTTATCCTTGCATGCACAAGAGTTTAAAAGCAATTTCAGTTTTGATCTATATATTTTTTTTATCGTGGTGAGTGTCACCATGCCCTACCAAGGGCACACGGAATAAGGAGGATTTTTTTATCACGATCTTCTTGTTTTCAATTCATGTTTTACTTATAATTTATATAAATTAAATTGTTTGAATTACACATTGACTATTATGTTTATTACCCAATATTACAGTGACAACAATTATTATCAACTTTTTATTTGTTCGCAATTTAGGTGCTTAGCTCCTGTGTGGTAACTTATGGGATAAATATATTTTTTGTGCTTTATGCATTATTTTTGATTTTTATGTTACAAGACCCATATGATTACAGTATTTACTACTACCTATTATTTACCTACATATATTATTTTTAGATTCTCAAGATCAGACAGAGAGTGAAGTACAAGCAACAGCAGAGTTGCTGTATTTTTTTGATAGACTCTTTGACAGTTTAAACGGTTCTACCAAAAATGCAGAATGTGGCAAAACCTTACGATGTGGTTTGACTGATGTATCTGCCCATATCCAATTTTGGAATAATGAAGCTCTGCCATTTCTTGAAACGATGGAATTTGAGAAGAAAACACCCCATCAACAATCAAAACCTCCAAGCCTTAAAAATTGGTCATTTTCAATAAAAAACATTAAAGCCATATGGCAAATTCTTAAGGGTGATGGTTTCAGTTATTTATTAACAAGGCGTTTAAACCAAGATCCTTTGGAAAATGCCTTTGGTCAAATAAGAAGCTTTGGAGCATTAAACATGAACCCAACAGCTTCTCAGTTTGTAGGAATTTTTAAAACTTTATGTATTAATACAACTGTATCCCTATATAAACACAGTTTTAATTGTGAAGATGATAATTGTACACAAATGTTTATTTCCTTAAAAAAAATGATTGACAGTATGTCTGATAATAGTAAAGATAAAAACTCTTCATTGGAAAGTTCAATTGATATAAGCAAACTATCCTTAAATCAATCTGAGGCACAAGCTACATTTAACCAAAAGCTACAAGAACTAGCTACCAGTTATGTAGCTGGTTTTATTTTAAAAAAATTAAAACGAATTATTAATTGTAGTGACTGTAGAAATTCATTATTTTCAAAAAATTACGCAGCTGAGCAAAGTGCATTAATTGCAACTAGGGAATATAACAATGGTTGGTCTAGGCGACTATCATACCCTACTCAACCTTTTGTATGCTGTTTTTACAGTATTTTTAAAATAATAAATTTTTGTGTTGACAAACAACCTCAATCAAAAATCTTACTTCATGAAATTGAAAACCTCATACAAAGGAAAATTAATTTTGATTATTTAAATTGTAGTACTAATGAACATAAAATCAAAATTATAAAATTAATCAGTAAATTTTCTATTAAAACAATATTGCACAACTGGTGCAGAAACGTTAATTTAATTTTACAAGGAAAGTCGAAATATACAGGTACAAACACAGTTAAAGTGGAAGCTAATAAAATTTACACAAATAGGTTGAAGAAGAAAAATATAAAAAAACCGAATGATATTATTTAAATTTCTGAAAATTTCATCATCTTCGTGTCATTGTTTTGAAGCTATTTTCTTGTGGCATTGTGAATTAATTAATTACTGTATTTTGAGAACTATTCCCGAAGTGGAAATTGAAACGTCAATAAACGTATTTTTATCTTTAATTGTGGCTTATTCCCAGTTTAATAGTAATTAATCTTCGTGTTACTACAGCCCTTAAAGGGCCTCGACTTTCTGAAGCTTTCTATGCCATTGTGTTATGTTTAGTTGTGTTACATATTTTTCTATTTTGTATATTTTATATTATAGAGGCTACCAACATAATTATTTCAGATAAATACTTTATACTTTGTATGTTTTCATTGTATTATTACTTTATATAAGTAAATAAATATGATCACTTATTGTCTTAAAATTTTTCTTTATTTTTCCTCCTTTAAAAAAAGATAATTTCATCCCTGTGCCTTTTATTATAGTTTTGATAACTGTTTAGTAGACAGGCTCCTATCCGATTTTTATGAAATTTGGCATATTTACATGTTTTGGGTTATAAATCACGAATATTTTTTATGGGAAATATATAGTTTTTGAGTTAGTCTTTTTTCGGGCGCTATTATCTATCTCTCACTTTAACGGCGTCAGGTATTATTTGTTTCAACACATTATAATATATATATATATATATATATATATATATATATATATATATATATATATATATATATTTTCTTCTTTTAATTCTTCATACTACCATATAAAAAAAGATTATAACTCTTTTATTCTTTTTTATTTCAATAAAACTTCTGAACTTCACAATGTTGTTTGTGACATCGCATTTAAAAATTAGCATGGCTTTCGTCAACAAACATTGCCGTTTTAATACACTATCTCTAAATTGATTAAATATAAAAATAAAATAAACCATCTATAAGTTTTTGTAAGGCAGTCCTTAAAAGAAGGAAGTATGTTATACACAGCGTGTTTAAAGAAGCACTTGACGCGATTAAAGTGAAAGATACTACGAAAATACAATAACTCAAAAACTATCCATTTCCCCCAAAAATGTTTTATATTTATGTTCGTGATCTGCAGCTAAAAATACGCAAATATACCAAATTTCATGAAAATCGGAGATCATCTACTAAATCTGTATAAAAGTTTTAAATTTCCCGCTTTATTTACAATTTAAATTTCGCGGTTTAATATTTGAAATTCCCGGTTTAGAATTTCGTTTAAATTCCCCGCCATTAGAAATAGTTCAGATATCCATCCCCAGGTGGCGCAAAATTTGGATAGAACTAAAGCATTGTCGTGAACCGTCTATGGAGTAGATGGTCTTTGCACTGAACACAACGCCATTTTATTTTGTCTATGACACGGTGTTTGTTTACGTCTTTGGATTTATATTATTTGATTGTGTTTTTTTTACTCACTGTTTGGCTTTATAGCAAAGACTTTTACTTTAAAGTAAAAATTCAGTTTATCTGAAAATTTTTTAATAGAGCTTTAAAATGGAGTTTAAATGCTGTGTACCCGGCTCCAAAAATTACCAAAAAGATGCTCAAATGCATATTTTTCCGAAAAATCAAGAGGTAAGTGATAATTAATATTTATTTTAATATTAAAATGAAAAATAGCTTTTATTTTGATTTGCCATTAATATTTTAATAACGATTAACGACCAAGATATTCGTAAGTATGTATATCTAACCTTAAAATGTTTTAACCTTGCTTGTGTTAGAACAAATGTAAAAATATCCAGAAATTGAAGTATTTACAGATGATACAACAAAAAAAGGAAAGAAGTAATAGATAATATGATTTACATTGCTATTATTGTTATGGACTTTAAATATTTTTTTTATACTATATCTATTAGACACTAATTATTGTGTGTTTTTTGTAGCTGTATAATGTTTGGATTAAAAGGATTGGCCATCCCAATTTACAAGAAATGCCAATGGAGAAGGTACGAAAATCATACCGTGTATGTAATGTCCATTTTGGGCCAGATGCACAATACATTGGACTAATAAATAAATCCACTATTAAAAAAGATGCTATTCCATCTTTATTTTTACCACCAAGTAAGTATGTTTACGTTCTTAAAATAATTTTGTTACTTGTAAATTGTGTCGTTAATTTTTTAAATAAATATTTTAATTTTTGAATTTTGTTTTTCTTCCTTTCCTTTCCTATTATGTGCAGTCTGTTCATAATTGCAATAAAAGATTCCACAATGTAATGCAAATTACAAAAAATAATCGTTAATGTTAATGTAAAAAACAATTGTCGATTATTTTTTATAATTTGCATTATGTTGTAGAATCTTGTTTTACTACAATAATTAGCAACAAAGCTTATTCGAACGTTTAAAATTCCCGCCTCGTCATTACACATTTAGTTCATGACTAAACCAGGCAGAGGGCGCTGTATACATTGCAATTTTTTGTATTAAAGAGTTGCCTATCTATCTCTACCTATATATATTTAATCTATGAACATAACTTTCTCTACAAGTTCTACACTGATAGTTTTACAATAGAACGGCATAATTAATTTAAGAAGTCTTAAAAGTTATGCACTTTACTCTCTACTTCTATAATACTCATATGAATTAGAGAACTGTTGGCAGTTTTCTGTATGAATCTTATCTGATGTTTTCCAATAACAAAAATTATTTTTATTCGTAGTCGTAGTTCTCTGGCCAGACTTTGGGTTTTTCAATTAATCATTTCATGATTTCAACCACTTTCGTTGGGGCTAAAATAGGAAGAAACCTCTTCCATACCATCCATACACAAAAAGTTTTGTATTTGGAATTCGTTATATAAATTTTCAGGATGTCTTTATAGATTGGGGACTCAGTAAAAATGGTTTTTTTTCAGTGGATAACAAGAATCTCGCAAGTAACCAATTTATATGATCTGAATTTAAAAATATCAATAATATACTACCTGGTTGGAAAAAATATCACTCAGTATTTAAAACATATCCAGAGAGCAGTGTTGTCATGGTAGGGATTATCACAAAATTGTCAGAATTTAAAATCAGTATGATGTATTTTATTAGGCATACATTGGGAGAATTTCATGATACAGTTAATTGATATGATTTTAATAAATGATTTATAACTCCTTTTAATGCAAGTTGGTGACACTGAGAGTCATGAGTGGAATCGGACAACCTAGATGTCCATACTATTTTAATCAACGTCCATACTTTTCATTTCAAAATCTTAGATCTTGTAATAATACTTGGCAATTTAAAGAAAACCAGCTTCTCGTATTTCAGAAATATTCTTTAATCAATAGTATTCGTATCTCTTGGAAAACGTTGATTTATCCATTTTTAACATGAACTTTTATAATAATAATATAATTTATTATATATAAATATAATAATAATAATTTATTGGTGTAAATTTGCCAATTTCCTCCTACTAATTATGCAACCCATTAAACAGTTACAAACAGGTATTAATAGAATGTATTATAATACTTCCAGACATCAATACCTGTTGGTCACTATTTTAATATTTATTATATCAAATAATATAATTGCAAACTTTACTATAAATAGGGTCGTCTTGATATTTCTGTGTTTGTTGTTGTGACCCATTGAAATGGGTCACTTCTGTATTGAATGTTGCGGGTTATAAGGGACAGAAGCAAAGTTTGTTTCTTTATTGAGGATCTAATCTTCTAGTTCTTAGAAGAGAACCAGCAACACAACACTGTACGATTCTAATTCTCACGTATTTTAGACAATACATGATTTTTTGCTTGTTACGTTATTCGTCATTCTCTTAAATGTGCCTTAGAATATGTTTAATTGAAATTTTAGCTGACTCCTCGTTTAAGGTTTTATGAGAGATGTTTTCGCAGTAAATGTTGTTGGCTTTTTAACAAACGTTAAGTTTATTGTCAAAATTTCAAGCTACTAGAGAATCATGGTATAAATAATTTTGTACAGACTTCTTCCTGGCCGTGTCTTCGTCTTCTTGTAGTGCATATCCGTTTCGGATATTGGCTACCATCATTGAAAATCTGTATTTTGAGCACTTCTGTCTGGAAAAGACTTGTGGTACTTGTGTTGAAGCACGTACGTAGATCTTTCAGCTAGGAAATCCTTCGCATTCCTGGTCTACATTTTCCTTTTACTTTTCCCTGTAGAATTAATCGCAGCAACCCATATATTTAGCTGTTTCTCATGATGTGACCGAAGTATTCGATTTTGGCTGTTTTTATTGTGGTTAACTTCTTGTTCACGTACCATGTCCTTTCAGAATGTTGGTTACCATCATAGCTATCTTAATTTTATTCACTGCCACCCTAAATAGCATGCTTGTATCAACACCATACCATTTTCGCAAGTTCTTCAACCATGAGGTTCTTCTTCGTCCTGGACTGCGTTTGCCTGCTATTTTTCCTTGCATGATATTTTGTAGCAACCTATATTTGGGACCTCTCATTACATGTCCGAAATACTCCAGCTTTCTCTGCTTGATGCTTTTTTATAATCTCAGTAGTCTTTAAGAGAACACTCAGCAGCGAAGTAGGCGGATCCTCAATGCCAATTTTAGGTCTCTCTGTTACATAAAACCTTGGACATCCTTCTAAAAGCAGCTCTATCCTAGATCTAATTTCGCCGTGACTTTCTGCATTACAATTAAATCGCCTGCCTCCCTACAACTCTCAACGACACTATCAAGTAGTGTTTGCAGATCTTCTTGACTAGAAGCTAGGAGTACTGTATCGTCTGCATATCGCAAATTATTGATGACTTCACAGTTCACAAGTATACCTTCTTGTTTTTCAGAAAATTCTTTCGGAGTAAACGTTGATAAGCAGGGGTGACAAGAGGCATCCCTGTCGTACTCCTCTTTTAATATTGAGAGCCTGTGATTCCACACCATCTACTAAAACTGATGTTTGATTCGAATATAAATTTGCAATTATTCGAACATCTCTGCCGTCCAAGCTAATGTCTTTTACAGCTTCGATCAATATAGAGTGCTTAACACGATGAAATGCCTTTTGGAAGTTAATAAAACAACAGTATATGTCTACAGATATATCTCGTCATCTTTGATCAAGTCGTTAATTCCAAACAGTGCTTCTCTTGTTCCAAACCCGTTACTGTCAAAACGGAAACCAAACTTAGTGTCATCCAGGCATTTCTCGCATTTATTGTAGATACAACCATGTATTACCTTCAGAAAATTTTTCAATAAGTGGTTTAACAAACTGATGGTTATATAATCAGCACAGGTTTTTGCTGTTGTCTTCTTAGGTAGAGCTATAAACAGTGAATTAGATCAATCATTAGGTAGTTGTCCGCTGGTATAAATGGTATTGAAAAACGTTATAGCTTCTAAAACATTGCTATCATTTATAAGCTTGTATATTTCAGTTGGAATTTCATCAGGACCAGTCGCTCTGCCATCATTTCCATTGTGGTTAACGATCGTATCTAATCATTTTTAAATACTAAAATAGTGTTTAAAATTTAATATTTTGTACTCAACTGTCACTGTTATCGAAACGTCAACTTATATAATTTCAAGTCTGCTCTCGAATCGACTGGAATCATCTTTTCTTTTTCTTCGGCAATTATATGGATCATTTTAGACTAGAGTAGTCTATCAGCGGTGTCGTACATATAAATAAATTTGTATAACTATTGTCGAGTAACTATTTAATATGTTTATTTAAAAAAATTCCTAATTAGCGCATCGCCTCTTTAGCCGAAGGCTGGCGAAGGCAATTAAATTTTATGACTTTTTCGCATGGGAATAGCGTAATATTAATATTAGGGTTATGTAGATATAGTCAGTCGAATTGTACCACCGAAGCAAACTGAATTAAATAAAACTTTAAAGCACATTTGTGTATTTTAATACAAAAGTAATTTTTTTGTAATAGAAATTTAATTTTGTATTTTTTCGAACCAGGAGTCTCTTGCGAAAATTAACCGTAGGACATTCCCAGCGTAACATTTAGCGACCGTGACAGGACTTATATACGCGTGTGCTTGAAAGTTAGTTATTTTCGCTTATTAGTGCAAACTTTTTTCCGGCGAATAATTTTGTTTTTGCGTGAGGCTCGGCCGAAGTTAACCTTTTTAAGCGAAAACATGGAATCAGATAAAAAACGCAGAACGGTGCTTCGTAGTGCATTTACGAAAGTTGCTACTGTTTTGGACTGTTTGTTAGCTAAACCGGTGGACACTCGACTCTGGCAGAAAATTAGCGTACAGTAGGAACATATATAAGTAAAGTATAATAAGCCTACATTAAAGTGCGGTACTTGGAAGTATATTGGAAGAAGCTTCCGAAGAAAAGTTAATCAGTGAGATGGGAGGCAAAAGATAAATATAGTGTAAGGTGCTTTGAACTTAAGTACAAATATGATGACAGACCAGGTTCAGTAAGTTCAGAGTCATCAAGTATAAAACGTAAGCGCAAATTTAAATTACCTCCAATCGAGTTCAAGAAATATAATGGAGACTTGAAAGATTGGCTTCCTTTTTGGTCACAGTTCAAATTAGTCAAAGTCACATCAAATGATTTGACTGATAAGATAGCTTATTTGAGCTAGTAAGACCAGACGATTAGTGGAGAGTTTTCCGGCAGTAGCAGATAATTACTCAAAAATTATGCAGAGTTTGAAGTCTAGGTTTGGCAGAGAGGAAGTTTACATTAGAGAGCCCTTAAAGTTAATTTTGAGTTGAGTTTCTAGTAGTTCTTGTAATATTTCTGCTCCTTGTGATATGATTGAGAGTCAACTTCGTTCACTTGAGACCTTAGCCATAACTGATGACAAGAATGCGGCGACATTGTATTCTCATATTGAGTCATGTTTGCCAGATGATATGAGTCGACTATGGCATATATCTGACAGTTTTTAAGGCTTTATGTTCTCGTGTCCATGGAAAATATCGGAGAAACTACAGAAGTTACAATTTTAAAAACAAGATTAAGTGGGTTAATGAGCTTTTTACAGAGTGAAGTTCAAAATGAACAAAAATTGATTTAGCAACAGAAGGTTTACCGACTGAAAATAAATATAAATTCAATAGCCTTGTTGCCAAGAAAAATGTAAAATTACCTAAGCAAGGAACCGATTAGCTCTTAGCGACCGCTGCCTGGTTGGTAAATTATGAGGTTTACAGGCGTATATTTTGTGGTGTTCGGCAATTGTTTGATTCTCGATGGTGGGAGGGCCCGGAATGATTGTACAGAAACGAAAATGATTGGCCCCAACAAAAATTAGAAGTTGATGAAGAAGTCTTTAGAGAGAAAAAGAAAAAAGCTGGTGCGTCACTACTGAATATGACATCTGACGATTGGCATCTGCATTACTTTTCTCAGTACATAAAACTTTTAAGAATGATAGCTTGGGCGCAACGATTTTGTTATAATACAAGAAATTCAAACGAAAAATGTACAGGTGAATTGGTCGCTGAGAAAATCGATAAAGTCGAAATAATTGTATTGAAGCTAGTGCAGAACGAAGCGTTCGGTTCAGATACGAAACGAATTTCCTCGCTAAACACAAATGTCGATGAATTTGGACTTATACGTTTAAAAACTCGCGTTACTGAGAGATTTTATAGTGCGTAAGTTAATTTTAAGTCTACACAAAAGCTCTTGTCATGTAGGCTTAAAAGGACTACTTAGTTTGCTTCGCGAAAAATATTGCAGTGCAGTTCATCTGGAACTCGTTACCTCGTTGTCAACAAATGCCTTTATTCATGCCTTTCGTCGCTTTGTTGCAAGGCGAGGACGACCGAGAATAGTGTATAGTGACAATGGAACAAATTTTACGGGATTCAAGAATGCGCTTAAGCAATTGGACTGGAATACTATGGGGAAATATAGTTCTACACAACGTAGTAAGTGACGGTTCAACCCCCTACAGCTGCATGATGGAGTGGATTTTGGGAGCGATTAGTAGGTATTGTGAAAGAACTTTTGCGAAAAGTTTTAGGTCGAGCGTCTCTAAATTATGAAGACTTATTGACAATATTGTGAGATTGTGAGAGTATAGTCAACTCGCGTCCGTTAACGTATCTTTCGGAAGATCCTACTGAGTTAACCGCGTCAACCCAAGTATGTTTTTAAACCGGAGTTGCCTGATTGTAATTTGCAACTCAAAGCAGGAACGAAGAAGTCTAAGGTGTCTATCAGAAATGTCGTTTTAGTCGGCAATGACAACATCAAGCGTCTTTAGTGGTCTTTTGGAAAACTTATACCTGTAGGGATGACCAGGTAACATTAGTTCGTCTTGCGACTGCACAAGGGCAATTTCCGATACCATTACAAAGGCTTTACCCAGTGGAAGTCGTCGAAGCAGTTACCACTGGCGAGAATGGCCAAGCTAATATTCTATCCTGTGGAAGTCAGACGGTTCCACAGCAAGAGAACGTTGGTTAACTCCAGTTTGAGGAAAAACCAAGTAAAAAGACTCTGGGAGTGATAAAAAGCAGAGCCCCCGATTGAAACAAAAGATATACGCGTTGTGACCGGGTGGTGCAAACTCCTTTAAGATGTGGGAGAATGTGAAGTAACTATTTAATATGTTTATTTAAACAATTCCCTAATCAGCACATCTCCTCTCTAGCCGAGGGTTAGTTAAGGCAATTCAATTTTATAACTTTTCGTCTGAGAATGTAGGGAATCTCGTAATATTAACACTAGGGTTATGTAGATATAGCCAGTCGAATTGTACCACCGAAGCAAACTGAATTATATAAAACTTTAAAGTCACATTTGCGTATTTTAATACAAAAGTAATTTTTTTGTAATACAAATTTAATTTTGTATTTTTTCGAACCAGGAGTCTCTTGCGAAAATTAACCGTAGAACATTCCTAACGTAACAACTATTTTATTTAATAAAACTTTTACAAATTAGCTATATATAATCTATAGAATACAAAATATTTAAATTAATATAATTTATATAAGAAAGAAACCTTTACACGTGGATTGGATGATTTTTTTAATCCATAGATATATGAGGATTAATATTGGCATTTTGATTAGGACCTATACCGAGTGGGCAATTCTTATACTTGGAAATATCTGAAAAAACAACAAATAGATCATTATTATGTACATTTATATAAGTGTGCTACAACTAATAATAAGATCACATTACCCCTAGATTAGTGATGAAGCTGGTCTAAACCTCTTAAAAAAAAATAAAAGAATATGAGTGAAAAAGAATTTTATGAATTCCCAATTTTAAAGGCTTTACCTAAAGTAGAGGGATGTATATGTGGCGGTTAAAATAAAAGTGGTGTAAGTCAGTTATTTGTCATTATTGAGTTATGCTCTTGTCTCATAGATGGCAGCATCAGTTTTATCGGCAAGCGAAACTACTCATATCGTAGTTAAATTGTGGTTTAAGTCTGACTGACACGACACCACTTTTATATCAGCCAAGTGGCAGTTTTTGTGGATGCTGCCATTGACTGTTGAGTGCTGTTAAGTATGGCTGACGACGTTTCCAGTGTATTAAGTGAAAGTAATAGTAAACCTAGTATTTTATTCTTACTCAGGATCGGACGAATGGCTACCTGATGGACTCAAAAAATACAGGTAAGTCAAATTATATTTACATATTATACTGATGAAAAGTGTAACACAAAATTGGTATTTAAACTTTAGTTCTAAAGTTGGCGTTTAGTACACCGAGTACACGCATTGTTTTTAGGCAAAATTGTCGTAATCTGAACTACTAGAATCATATAGATATATCCGACAGATACTTTCGAGTTAAATATGAGGAAGCATATTCAGAATTAAGAGAAGTTAAAGCTGGAGTTCCACAAGGAAGTGTCCTGGGGCCAGTGCTATACCTGCTCTATACCAGCGATATTCCATCATTAGAACCTAACACAATTGCGACATTTGCAGACGACACATGCATTCTACCATGCTACAGAACTCTGTTGAACAAATTAACATCTGGACCAGCCGATGGCGTATGAAATTGAATGAAACAAAATCTGTTCATGTCAATTTTACTAACAAAAGAGAGCAACATATCCCAGTTAGTATAAATAGAAACCAAATACCTTATGCAAATACGGCAAAATATTTGGGTATGACGTTAGATTCCAAGCTACGTTGGAAAGCACATGTTAAGAAAAAACGGAGGAATTAGAAATTAAGTTCAGAAAGATGTACTGGTTGATGGGAAAAAAATCCACTCTGTCTATTTATAACAAATTGTTATTGTATAAGCAAGTCCTTAAACCGATATGGACATACGGAATACAGCTATGGGGCTGTACAACAGAAAGTAACATCCAACATATACAACGATATCAGAATAAAGTATTAAGGAACATCGTTAACGCTCCATGGTACTTCAGAAAGTGTGATCTACATCGAGACCTCCAGATGGATACGGTTATCCAGACAATAAGTAAGTTTGCCGAGAGTCATGAACAAAGGCTCTCCAACCACGTGAATGTCGAGGCCATCAAATTCCCAGACAACGCCAACCAGATAAGAAGACTTAAGAGAACGAAGCCGTTTGAGTTAGCGCTATAAGTGAGTGAAAGTGAAAAAGCAGAGCAAAGTGCGGCTAAAGTGTACACGTTAGCTAGTAGTACTATAATGTATTAGAGCCTAAGGAATATTCCTGAATATAACCTTAGATAAGTTTCTTGTAATATTTGTATATAGAACTAACTTGCTTATTGATCATAGTAAATGATCAGATAGAAATAGTCATAAGATTTCTGTTGGAGTTTTATTAAATAAAAAAAATAAATTTTGGAAGTTAGGTTCCTTTAGTACACAAAATGCCTTTATATGTGGTTTAATAATACAAAGCATTCCCAACAAAGACGTCCCAAAGATCAATCACGTTCTGCAAAGTCGGTTAGTAATCAATATTACATAAAAGCACAAGGGCAAACCATCAATGTATGTAAAAAGTTCTTTCTTCAGACATTTAAGATATCTGATGGCCGCATGTCGAGGGCTATTAAAAAAATACAAAATGGAAACGAACCAGGATCTGATTGCAGAGGCCATCGCGCTTCTTTCAAAAAAAATTCCTATCGAATGCATGAACATAGTTCGAGAACACATCAATAGCTTCCCAGCATATCAGTCACATTACACGAGAGCTAAAAATCGTGTATAGTTAAGCACATTGAAACACTACACTCATCGCACTTTAAGCATATTGTTGCCTACAGTGATACTTGCACCGGACAAAATGGGAACAATTAATCCAAAGTTTATGGTGAGTGGTCATTCCTACCTACCCAACGATGCAGACTTAAGATCAATAGAAACTTACTCCAGAGGAAAGGCAATGTATGTCCCAAACGATTGGTATTCATCATCATCATCATTGGCTTTTACAACTCTTCGTGAGTTTTTGCCGCGTTTACTATTGCCTTCCATTGATTCCGATCCTGTGCTATTATTTCCCATGGCCTTACTTCCATCTTCTCCAGGTCTTCCCTGACTGCGTCTTTCCACCTTTTTCTAGGCCTTCCTGTCGATCTTCTACCATCTGGTCTTTCCCAAAACACATTGCTAATCAGTCTGTCGTCATCACTCCGTACCACGTGGCCTGCCCATCTTAATCTGTTGGCTTTTATGTATCTTACGATGTTTCCTTTCCCGAAGAGAGTCTCTATTTCATTGTTGTATCTGCTCCTCCATTCATTTGTCACGCTGTCCCTGCAAGGACCATATATAATTCGCAGGATTTTGCGTTCCCATACTAATAGCTTATTGGTTTCTTTCTTTCTCAATGTCCATGTTTCACTTCCATATGTCACTGCTGGTCGTATTATGGTTTTGTACATTTGGATTTTGGCACGCCTTGAGAGAAGCTTTGACCTCATTAGATGTTGAATGGCAAAGAATGATTTATTCCCCGCCAGTATTCGTATTTCAACCTCCTGTTCTCCTGTGTTTTCACTGGTAATTGTTGCTCCTAGGTATTTGAATTCTTTGACCACCTCAAAGTGCAAAAAACACCAACGATTGGTATTCTATCATAATAAAGTCACGAAGACATAAATCGTTCCACTTTACACTTATGGTTAGCGAAGATTTTAAAAGTGCCTGCAATCTCAAAAAAGCAATCACACAAAGAAAAGTGAATTGCGATAATAAGCCAGTATCGTGGTTAAGAATACAGTGGCTTAGGTGCAAGCTAGACGAACCCTTTAAGTTATTTTATAAAGAAACGCTAAATGAAGAATCGGACTTTTCAGCATCAACATTCTGCCGGGCGCACAAAAAGGACGGCCGAGATTATTGAACAACATTCTACAAGACCGACTTTATAGCAATCCTCGACCAGTGACTATTACGAAAAAACGGGATATGTCTGACTTGTTGCCATTTATCCCAACTGTGCATCATAGTTATTTCAATAATCTTATTACATCTGATTTTCTTGGACGCGTTGATGATTCAGAACCACTCACAGATGACGAGTTTCCAGCGAGTAACGAACCTGGGGCATAAAACCTGCAATGTTGTTTGTACATGATGTTGATTTGATTTTCTGTATCTTTCTCTGTCCAATAAACTTTTGATGAAATAGTGGTGTAAGTCATTTCAACCCTTGGTCTAAGTCTCACCAGTATAAATTAGTTCAATATACCTGCATCAAGAGTTTCACATACGCATTGCTGACAAAGGTAAGGGATAATTAATACAATTTGTTTGTCGTGGATTTAACGATAGTGATCCTAATAAAAGCTTCTGTTTCTCAAAATGAAGTTAAACTGACATACACCAGTGTTATTTTAACCGCCTCATATGATGAGGCCAGGAACGAATATAAACAGAATAGAGAAGCATTCGACACAGAAAAGACATACATAATAATATTGTAGTCAAACAATTTCAAATTTCTAAAACAGATAAAGAGAAAAAGAAAGAAGACTAGCTGATAATGCAGGAAATCATGTAGTTTAAAGGCTACATCCAGAGTTATAAGGATATACAGAATAAAGAAAGGATGCGAAAATGAAGAAAGTAACAAAATAAATGAAGAGATAACAGAATTTCAAGTATATGACATAAAAAACTTCGATAATATTGCAGGTAAAATAAATTAAAATTTTCCTTATTAACAAGAAAGAAAAAAACTAAATTATAATGTAGGAAAATATGCAAGAGGTGAATAGAATGGTGACTGAAGAAAACAAAACAAATAGATGCCCAAGAGACCAAAAGAAACATTTCTTGAATAAAATGGTTGAAAAGTTTATCACTAATGGAGGGGAAAGGGAGGTTATTACCATATGAGAACATGAAAAGTAAATATAAGTATGTACAGATCTGAAGGAAACAAAAAATGGGAATATCAGCAAAATAAGACAAGTATATCATGAATAAATGACAAATGACATATACATGAATGACATATAAATAAAGAAGCCGGCAATTGATATGAAAAGAAGAGAAAATATGAATATAAACATCAAAAGGAGAGTATATCATGAGAAAAACGGATTACTAATGCAGGAAAAATTTAATATAGACTTCATAAATAAAGAAGCCTATAGTTCTTGGGAAAAAATGTGAAAAGAAAAATATATATCATCAAAGAAGAGTATATTGTTATGATAAATTCTGGCCCAAAACCGTGAATATAGGTATATTAATAATATGTTTTTATTCATTCATGAATGTTCTAGGTAATACCTACATGACGGAAAATATAATAAAATCAGCCGAACCGCTATAAAAAAACCAGTTCCAGTTCATTCCAGACAATGCAGGTCAACATCCATGGGGTCTCCCCTCGGCTATAATACCAGTATGACGTCACATTCCAGTATTTTCGACAAGGGTCAGGTCAGGTCTAGATTATTGACGGTGCTTTATAAAAAGACGAAATTTTATTGAAGAAGTCAGTAAGAAGATAAATTCGGGCCGCGTATTTGAATGTACGAATGTAATTGATAATAAATTATTTAAGTGTAAAATAAATTAGTAGGAAATAAAGACTTTAATAAATTATCGTGAGTTTTAATAAATTAGAATAATGACAATAAATTAGGACTAATAAAATCATTATAATATCATGGAAAAACAGATTACTAATGCAGGAAAAAATGTAAGATAAACTAAATAAATAAAGAAGCCTGTAGTACATGGGAAAAGGAGTAGAAATGAAGAGGGAAAGGAGAATATAAGCAAAAACAGAGAAAAGAAAAATATGGAAAAAATAGTTTATTAATGCAGAAGGAAATACAGTATAAATTAAGTAAATAAAGAAGCCTCTAATGTATTAGAAAAAGAGTAGATATTAAGAGCGTAGGCGCAAAATTTCGGGGCAATGTTTTTTAAATGCAATCATTTTTTTTTTCGAATCCTGAGAAAACTAATAAATATTTTTAAAAAATTTAAAGACAGAATGGAAGATTACATTATTACCAAGGGCCGAAAGTCCCTTAGAATAAACAAAAAGTTTCTTTTGAATGAGATATTTAAAATTAAAAATCACACTTAATTTTCTCTTCTTTTCCACCCCTGTAATTTACTAAAATAAACATTATGGAAGTTTTCAGGGACTTTTAGCCCTCGATAATAATGTAATCTTTCATTTGCGTTAAAATTTTTCAAAAATACTTAATAGTTTTCTCAGGATTTGAAAAAAATGAATGCATTTAAAAGGTATTGGCTCGAAATTTTGCGCCAAGCTCTTAATAAAAAAGGAAGAATATAAAGTGAAGGAAACAAGTACACCATATTCTGGATGAAAAAGTAGGCCAATAATGCAGTAAGAAACATAATACAACAGTAAGCAAATAAAGAAGCATATAGTGGACAAGAAAATGTTTAGAAAAAAGGAAAATATAAACAGAAGAAATATATTACGCAAAAAACAGATTATTAATTCATGAAAAAATACAGGATAGTGAAGCAAATAAAGAAGCATGTTTCCATGAACTAGTGATAATACAAAATCCGATAACAATTTCCAATGCAAGGAAAGACCAAGAAGGCTAGTAAAAACAAGAAGAGCAAGGAGAAGAGAAGCATATTATGAAAAAATGCCTACTTGTGACTCTTTTCCATCTGCCTCCGTGACTGATCGCTTCGACAATCTCTACATCTGTATTGTCTCTGTGGTTATCGTCATTCTCGGATTCATCCACATCCATCCGTTCTATATGTTCCAAATCATTTGTCAAGTCTTTAATTGAATAAATATCACGTTTAAGTTTGAATGGAACCACACAATTATTACTGAACTGTTGTCGAAGCAATAGCATCATGAAATTGATATATTCTGTGTTGTATCCGTTTAGCGTCAACACTCTAAAACAAAGTTAGATTTCCCAGGTTTGAGTATTTAATTTGAGATTTTCTCTAGTAGTTCCATAAATTTGATTTTTTTTTATATTACTTACTTGTCAACAAACTCAATGTACTGTTTGTTAGGCTTTTTGCACATCCTCCTCTCTAAGTTAACCAGGTTCAAAGTATTGAATCCTTGGCTGGAGTTAAATTCGATACAATCCCTAAACGCTGGCGTATCTTCCTCTATTTTGGCCTTAAAGTTCATTACTGCTAGTTGAACATCCAAATCAGTCATATTCTGTAGCTAAAACCATTCATTCATAATAAATATAACACTATTGAATCACTAACCAACTACATTTAAACAAAAAAGGCTTACCTGAATAGTATTTTTGAACTCTTCAATGCTTTTTAGTTTAATTAGCCCATCTAGAATATGGCACAGCCAACGGCAAGACAATGCTATTGCCATGTCTTTCACACAACTAGAGCTCTCTTCCAAAAGTTTATCTAGAACATGCTCTAGGAATCCATGATCGAAAAGTAGGTTTAACAAATTTGTCCATAAATCTTTGAATGGTTTGGGGATTACTGTTACATGGGCTAAACACAAAAATTAAATTAATGTTATTAATTCATTGTAAAAATGTAATGACAATGTACAATGTGTTTTTTGTGATTAAAATACCTGTACAACCTAGAGAACTACAGGGAACAAAAAGAAATGATACAAAATAGTAGCTGAAAAAGTATACTAAAAATAAATAGATCAATTTTTCTATTGTTCAAAATGATTTTGTTCATACTGACCTATATCATCCTTTTTCAAATGCACATGAAACAAAGCCTTGTTATCAACTAATACTTCAGCCACTTTCATACTCAATTTTTTACTGTTAGGATTCAATAATTCTTGATTTAAAGTTTCTTCAAGAACTATATGGAGACCTGCAGGATCTAATGTTTCTGAATTGTATCTAAAGCAAATATTAAATTTAAAATGATGACAAAAATTATATATTAGCCATATTATGCCATTAAAAACAGTACCTTTTAGCTAAATAATTTGCCTTGTTCATTAAACGTTCAAACTCTTCTCCCATTGTCACTCCTTCGTATATATCAAGAGTGAGCTTAATATACATATTCAAACAATCAATAATATTAGTCTCTGCAATATCTTCCAAAGTATAATCCTTCAGATTGTTCGCTTTCTTCCAATATTCATCCAGAATCCATTCAAAGCATAAATTCAGTGCAACTTTCACATTATCATTTGATGTTTCATTCATCCCATGACAAAAATCGTGCCTCATATCTATTACCCACTTTGAAAAGGATTTTGACACGATTTTATTAAAGCTACCTTGTTTATCGTTGTGAACAGCCACATTTAGAAACCTAAAAAACAGACATACACCACAACAAATCCAAGATTAAATCATAGGTCCTTCAACTGAAACACTGAATCTAACATTTGTTAATAACCTTACGTTGTCAAGGCACCCGCTCTTTCTCTGACCAGCAAATTTTCGGGGATATTAGATTCATCCATGAGCATGGCCTCTAATATAATAAGTGTCCCTTCAATACCAGCAGGAAGTTTCGGCGTTCGTTGTTTCCATATTTGTATTATACCCAGCGCTTTTATTAACTTATGGTTTGATTTACAAATTAAACATCTCGCTACGTACTCCCATTCGGCTCTAAAACAAAACAATGCTCAAATATTTCCAATTTTTGAATGAAATGCTTTACTTGTTGAAGTATGGTACTAAAATTCGTCCACTGTGCTTTTGAGAGTATGCCATTGTTAAAAAATTACAATAATAAGTATTAATTACTAAAATCAATATAAAACATAATTTATTGATACTTTATTAAAAGTAAGGTTACGGTACGTTCATGTTCGTGGCCCTGATTCTATTTCATTTCGATGTCGAAATTTAAAAGCGACTACGCCATGACAGTCGCAATCGCTAGCGATTCTCATTCATTTCGATTTTAGTTAAAAGTGGGGACATTTACTTTATCATTTTGACACTGCTCAGAATTTGGGTTGGCCGTCTTGTTTATTGGCTGCACGCTTGTTAAATGTTTGTTTTGTTTACATTTTACGATTTTTGTTTCTTGTTTGAGATGTTAAATTTTTAGTGGCCATTCTCAATGATTATATTTTGAATTTAAAGAAAATGGATGGATGCTGTTGGTGATGGTGGCACTAAATTGTCTGTGGACTTAAAAGAAATTATGATGGCTTTTGACTTAGTGGTTATATTATATTTTTAAATTTACTGCAGCTTAGTATTGGTATTACTAAAAACAATACATTACCGCTCTAAAAATTCTTGATGAGTTTAAAGATTATTTTATATCTCCAAATAAGAGTATAGAATTAAAATAAATTATTACAACCAAATTATTTATTATTTCTATCTTCCATTACAGCCTGTTGAATATATTCAAAAATTGTGGTTTCCAATTTAGTTTTAATATTGGGACATTTTATTTCTTTAATTTTTACACCACAGTATATTTTAAAAAATAATCAGTAGCATCTGGCTTGGGGCCCCCAGGTACCGCAGTTCTATTTTTATAGGTGTTAAAATTTCGACCAATTATGTGCCGAATCACATACAATTTCTGATAAAACGCAGGCATATTAATACTCTTTGCCTCAGTTTTCGTTGCAACAATCAAACAAAACAACACCGCCTAAACTGGACCTAACCTCGCTTCTCCCAGTCCCGCTAGTAATGTCAGATTAATTTCGACTCGAAATTAAATTTCAACCACTTTCTTGAGGTTGAAATTAATTTCGATAAATCGAAATTTAGTGACGTCCTTTGGTTAGTTCAGCTGAAATCCACTAGGCTCGCAAAGTCGCATTTCGACGTCGCCATATTGATTTCAACATGTTTTCAGTCGAAATCTCAATTAGAATCAGGGCCCGTATGTTGTCTTTTTACTTAGTTCTTATTGGAAAGGATGCTAATAGTAGATTGGCTTTTACGGATTATGATTGGTTAAAGACACGTGCGTACGAGATTAATAAATTACCTATTCATTAGGCAACTAATAATACACACGGTTTAGATAATAAAAACAAGTAGGTATAGTCTATTCGCTTAGCTAGGGCATATTTTGACAGACTCATTGTAGGAAACCTACAACACAACAATTCCTACTTCTCAGTATAAATAGCTCAAGTATACTACTATTGCAGACTTCTTTCTTTGAAAAAAAGAAGAATTATTCTAAATAGTGGAAGTGTATACTAAACCCATCAAATTTTCCCTGTATATTTAAACTATAATATTTGAATTGTTACAATTTAAAATATTGTAGTAAATATTTGTATTATTCGCGTTGTTTATTTAATTTAATATAGTTTTATTGTTTTATTGTCTTTGTTTAATTCTTTTGTTAGTTATATTCAGTTAATTAGTTAGTTATATTTTAAATTTTATTATTATGGATAGTCAAAGTTTTCCATTTGTTCCATCAGCTAATGCGTTGGTAAGTTTTTCTTAATAAATATGATAAAATGTTTTTTAAAAAGTTTTTTTTTAAGTTAATATTTTTAGATTAGTAAGGATGCTGTTCCTAGATTACAAGATAATAAAACTGCACAAAGGTTTATTCAAAATGCCTACCATTTTTTTTACCGAATAAAAACCCTGTTGAGGTAAGTTGATCATTAAAATGTATTTTATCGAATTATGTAAATGTTGTAAATACATAAGGAACTTGCTGTGTCTTATTCTTATTTAACCTCACTTTAACTTCTTAATTTTGTAGAATTTATTCCCACTTTTTTATTTTGTACAATAAATAATTTTATTATTTGTTATCAATACATTATACGGTGTAAATATACTTTTGTTTACATTAATATTGACTAAGAGCACGTATGCTTGGTTGTATAGTATTTTCCAGCCACTTTGAGTCTGTCAAAATGTTACTAACTTCGAAAAAAAATAATTACTAAAATCACTAGACAGTTCGGACTGGGAATAGCGAACCGGGTATAATCCAAAAATCTAATTTTCTTTAAAAAGGTATCTGGTTGTTAGTATTAAAAACTTTTGTATTTTTTCCTTGTAGTGATAAGTTTAATTCGTCAAGTTTTCCAAATATATCTGGTAAAAATACTAGTCTAGATAACCAGCTTTTATGGCACAAAAGGTTTTTTTTTAAATTCAAACTAAAAGGAATATATATGCTAAAAATTGGTAATCAGGTTCGTAGTAAAAAAAGTCAATCGGAATAGCAGTGAACATGATCTGACAAAATTAATTCTTTTACCACTTCATTTAACACGTAAAGTGCCATGGGATCAACGTAATCCCACATTCTGCTTAAACATTTTAATGCCTTCTGGCCATTTGGGATCAATGTAAGCCGACGGACCAGAAATCACTTAGGGCCCCATCGCATAACGATGCGACATTTTAATGTAAACTATATGGAAACTTTTGTAGAGATGTTAAGCAAAATAGGAGATCAGTTGGCCATTGTGTAAGTATAAAAAAAATTATGAGGAACAAAAATAAACTAAATTTTAGCAAAAAAATATTTATTTTAATTCAGAAATATGTAAATCAAAAAAACATTGCAAACAAAAGTGTTTTTGAAATACGTTGCGTCTAAACTTGGTTTGGGGGTCCTATTTTTGACAACTTGACTCCCTGATTCCTCTGAAATTTTGGCGTAGCATCCACTACAAGACCTCTTCTTCTGACTATCCTCAAGATTGTGGAAAAAATTAATATAACACAAAATATTGTCATAACACCTGGTAAAGACATTATCTATAGTTTGCCATCTACTAGTAAAAGTATAGGTGACTACTTAATAGTTCCAGAAAAATCGACAAGAAAGAATAAACGTAATACCGAAAGAGTTTCATTTGCTGCTATAACATCAAGAGAGTATCAAGAGAGTTTTGAAAAGAAACGTGCCTTAAAATTAGAATTAGAAAATGAGAAATAGGAGAGAAAACGAAAAAGAAAAGAGAAGGTAGCAGCAAAAGCTTTAAAAAATACTGCCCGAGATACCGACAAAAAATACTTCATGTTTTCTGTGCAAGGTTCGAACAGTAAAAAATAATTACCTAACATGTAATACCTGCAAGAAAAGAATTCATCGACGGTGTGTTTGGAAAAAATATGTTCATGTTCCTGAAAAAGATGATGAGGATTTATTCATGTGTCATCTGTGTTACACTGAGGAAACCGATGATGGCGGTATTTCAGAAATAAAAAGTGATGAAGACGGCGGAATGTATAATAAAAAAGAACTTGATGATAGAATGTGTAAAAGATTAAAAAAAAATAGAAAGCGAAGAGGATATCGAAACAGATTATCAAACACAATCAAACTTCAAAATACGTAAGGAGCCGAAAAAAATAGAAAGCAATCATTATTACTCCGATCAAGAACCAAAAGAATTTGGCAATAAAATGATAATGAAATAAATGCTTAGAAAAATGACAGCAATTTGTGCGACGAAAGAAAACAAATAGAAAGTAGCCAAGGTAATGAAACCAACAACAAAGTTTATAAAAACCCGAGAGAAATACAAAATGGAGAAGGAATCGGAACAGACCATCAAATAAGAACTGAGAGCAAAATGTGTGAGAATCCAAAAATGGCAAGTGAAGAAGATTTTGAAGATTATGGAACAAAAGTGGGCCAAAAGTGTTAGAAAATAATTCAAATGACGACATGGACGTCGAAGAACTTTTTAATCTGTACCAAAATGAAATGAAAAAATATAAGTGATTTATAGTACCTAGGTAGATTTAATAAAAGTTTTTGAACATTGTTTTCAACTTTTTATTTGTTTTTAATCATTACTTTGACAGTGCCGAATAACTGAAAATTTTGTGTCCAATAATTGAATTTTTTGTCCAATAACTAACTTTTTCGTAAACGTTCAGGTCTTTTCAAGTTTTCTAAAAATCTGTTATATTAAGGCCGTATGACACTATACATTTTCTTGTATCATTTCTTATATCGTTTCTGATATAGAAAGCTATTTATGTTTTATTGTATCGTTTCTTGCACGTACATTTTTGCCCTGTATGACACTATGCAAGTTCTTTTACCAGAAATTGTATGTGATTTGGCACATGATTGGTCGAAATTTTGACACCTATAAAAATAGAACTGCAGTACCCCAGTACTGAGGATCCCAAGCTACTGGGGACTGAGGACAAATGCTGTTGATTATTTTTTAAAATACTGTGGTGCAAAAATGAAAGAAATAAAATGTCCCAATATTAAAACTAAATTGGAAACCACAAGTTTTGAAGATATTCAACAGGCTGTAATGGAAGACAGAAATAATAAATATTAAACTCATCACTAATTTTTAGAGCGGTTATGTATTGTTTTTAGTAAAACATCTCCTACTTTCAGTAGTTCCGATGCTATTTGATCCAATCCCTGTGATTTATTGTTTTTCAATTTGGCTACTGATGTTCCAATCTTGGTTATTGTTGGTGGGCACTTTTCTCTGATGTCTGCTTGGTCAAATTGTATATCTCCTCCAGTCGCCACTATGACAGAAGACAGAAGTTTTACGTTTTTGCGGCTTTGCGCACAAATTGGCGCATTTCTTGTACAAGAAAATGCAGTGGACACAAATTCTTGTATCGTTTCTGATATAAGAAACTATACGCTTGTATGACACTATCCATTTTTTTGTTATATCAGAAACGATATAAGAAATGATACAAGAAAATGCATAGTGTCATACGGCCTTTAGGAATATTTAAAACCCGTTAGCTTAAAATATCATATATCGCACATCAGCAACAACACTTTCACAAGTCGAAATTCAGTTTTTTTTTTTATTTTTGTTGTAATAAATGGGTATTTTGTTAAACTTTCGTTAGCATCACTGTCGAAAAAAATATTTTGTCATATAAGCGCTAGATGGCGACTTATGTCCAT